GGGGGCCTGCTCTGGTCGCGGCTCTCGGGGGCCTGCTCTGGTCGCGGCTCTCGGGGGCCTGCTCTGGTCGCGGCTCTCGGGGGCCTGCTCTGGTCACGGCTCTCGGGGGCCTGCTCTGGTCGTGGCTCTCGGGGGCCTGCTCTGGTCGTGGCTCTCAGGGGCCTGCTCTGGTCGTGGCTCTCGGGGGCCTGCTCTGGTCACGGCTCTCGGGGGCCTGCTCTGGTCGTGGCTCTCAGGGGCCTGCTCGCTTTGGCTGTTCTCTGCACAGCGACCAGCAGCTTGTTCTGGGAGGCTGACTCAGTGCCCTCCTCCAAGGAGGAGGGAGAAACCCAAACATTAACCAACCACTCATCCAGCCCCACAGGCCCAACGAACAATCCAGGGAGCAAACCCACACCCTCACTTGCAATACAAAGGAAAACCAGAATGGAGTCACCGCTGGCCACCTGAGCTGGGATTCCCACCAAAGGCTGCACTCATAGGACGTGAAGGAGAGGGATGCCGTTGGCGACATGTCACATGCTCAGCCCACCCTGACCAACAGAGCCCCAGGTGGGAGCTGGCCATTTCATACCCAGCCCAAAACTTGGAAGCAAGAGACCACTCTCCAGCCAGGCTGTTTAGCCTGACCTTGAAAGGTCAGGCTCCCTCAGGAGTGGTGAAATGCACGGAGCCACATGTGAACAGCCTTGCTCCTGCAGTGCTAGTCCACCTCAGCTGGGCCCTGGAGACCCACTTGCATGCATACACTGGGCACCAGCAGTCAAGGAGGCCCAGGGCCAGGGCCGCTCCGAAAGCCCTGTGCAGGGGGCAGAATGGAACATGGAGTGGGGTGAGGGCCAGGCTCTGACCTGGACTCCAAGGAGGTGCTGGACCGCAGGGGGCCGGCAGGACACAGCAACTGCTGCTGTCCCCTGGGCATTGTGGCCACATTGTGACGCCACCCAACCTATCTCTGTCTGTGGAGCAAGGCGTACAGTTCTACATCATTTCAAATCTCATATAAAAAGTAAGAATAACTGGACACTGGTGGCTTGTGCCTGTAAGCTGAGTTACCTAGGAGGCTGAGATTTGAGGGTCATGGTTCAAAACCAGCTGGGCAGGAAAGTCTGTGAGATTCATCTCCAATTAACTACCACAAAGCTAGAAGTGGAGCCATGGTAGTGAACTCTACTTGAGGAAAAAATAAAGCTCAGTGCCCAGTCCCCGAGATCAAGCCTCAAGACTAGCTTGCACGCACACACGGAAAATGAGAATTAGAAAGTTAAAGACCACAGAGACGGTTTTTCTTCCTAAAATCTGTTAGTACTGGGGTTTGAGCCCAGAGCATCTTGCCTGCTAGGTGGGTGCTCTACCCCTTGAGCCACCTCTCCAGCCCTTTTTGGCCTTACCTGGCCTCAGCCCATTGTCCTCCTACCTACAGCCTCCTGAGTAGCATAGGTGTAAATTGCTGGGTCCATCTTTATAGATGGTCCTGGAGCATTGCCAACTTTTACCAGGCCGGCCTTGAGCCCAGCTCTCTCAATCTCTGCCTCCAATTACAGGTATGGCTGTTCATAGCTATCTTTCTACTAAAAGAAAAGGATTGTTATTTTTTTAAGATGAACAAGCATCTGACTTTAAATCATTCTGAGAGACAGTGTCTGTCATCTTAATAACATTTCCTGTCTGTGATGGCGCCTGGCAGGTAGAGCTGGTGTTGTGTGTGTGTGTGTGTGTGTGTGTGTGTGTGTGTGTGTGTGTGTGTGCTGAGTCCGGCTCTGGCTTTCCTGTCTATGATGCTGTGTGGCGGGTAGAGCTGGTGTTGTGTGTGCTAAGTCTGTCTCTGGCTTTCCTGTCTGTGATGCTGAGTGGTGGGTAGAGCTGGTGTTGTGTGTGCTGAGTCTGGCTCTGGCTTTCCTGTCTGTGATGCCGCGTGGTGGGTAGAGCTGGTGTTGTGTGTGCTGAGTCCACTCTGGCTCGTGGCTGAGGGCACGTGAGCTTGCTGCAGCGCAGTTGACACCTGGGTGCTCGGCCACCCTTCTCCTCCAGGCCCGACGGAGCCTTGGCTCTGTCAGTGGCACACGTGTGTGTCCGTTCCTGAGTGGACAAGCATTTGCTGCACTTGCGGTACCCCGTGGGGGACTCTGGGGGAGTGGGTCTGCTTCTCTGCTAGAGGCCAGCAGGTGCTGAGGGCTGGGCAGCAGCTGGCTCGTTAGCACACCCAGCGCCGTGGCCGCAGCGTCCTGTGACTGGCCCAGTGCCATGGCCGCAGCCTCCTGTGACTGGCCCAGCGCCGTGGCCGCAGCGTCCTGTGGCTGGCCCAGCGCCGTGGCCGCAGCCTCCT